AAAAAAAAAAAAAAAAAAAAAAAACTCTACATGTTCTTCCTCAATAAATAACATGACTTAATCAACATAAAAAAAATGTAATAAAAAATATGTAAAAAAAACATACTTAATACAAAAAAGATTACATATACTTACCTGAAAACAAGCACCGCAGCCAGCTCCATCTTTGTAAATCGATGGCGCGGCAGCCGCAATACGGCCACCGTTGAATCCTACAGCCAGAGAACCATAGCCACAAGCTCCAGCTGATAAAAAAAGAAAACAGAACTTATTAAAAGATTTAACATAGAAAGAATTTTTCCTTAACAAAAAAAAGAAAAGAAAGAAAGAAAGATGAGCTTTAAGTAGTTACAATTAAGTGGTTGGTCACTGGAAAAGTAGGCAGCTTTTGATTGGTGCAAGCAGCGATCACAGGCAGTTGCAAACGAAGCAAAGAGTACACAAACAGTACTCACTAAGCGAACAACAAAATTAAATATTGCAGCCATTTGTTGAGTTTTAGTTTTTTAGTTTAATGTATGTGTGAATTATATGATAAAAATTAGTGTAGGTATATATAATATAGTGTGTGTGTGAGTTTGAAACTTGAAAGTGGAGAAAAAAAATGATTTGAGTGAGATTACGATGTGTGGAGGACAGTTCAGAAGTGTTGTAGTTCAAAAAGCAGGTAAAATATTTGCTGTAATTATTTTTTTTATATATATTTTCATTTGATTATATGTCCATTCAAATCTGGTGAGTCAAGAGGGAAAGCGACAGGCGCTTGCTCGCTCGCTCATACGCGGCTTCCACATTATTCTTTTCAACAAGTGGAAAACAAAAAACAGAGGATAATCTCTCTTATGCTTGTGTGCGTGTGTCAGTGTTTGTGATTTTTTTTAATTTTTATTACAAATGTGGGTTTTGCAGTGTGGACTAATCGATTTTCAAACAAACAAATAAAAGTGGAAGTCTATTCATTAGATAATCAAAAAGATACTTTAAGAAAAAAGAAAAAAAAAAAAAAAGCATTAGGTATGATCTTTTATCATGTTAAGCCCAGTGTTCTAAAAGTCGCTTGGCGCCCGTTAGGCGTTTGACCAGCGCCTAGTCGGGGTCTAGAAATCAATATTAAATACGTTATTTTTTATTTATTTTAACTACATTAAAATAAAATTATCTCTATTATAATAAATTCACACGCCTAAGTCCAAATAATAAAATAAATATAATTTAAAGAAAAACATGAGAACAAAATAATGTAATTAGTATTTCAAAAATATATAAAAAAAAAAAAATAACTGAAAATTTACCGCCGAGCCCACTTAGGAGTGCCTAGGGCTGCCTAGCCGTCTTGCCCATTTTTTCTGCCCATTTGTGCAGATTGAAGGCGCCTGAGCACCGCCTAAGGCAATTTTTAGAACAATGGTTAAGTCTAAACGTAACGTTTAAACACTTACATATTTTTACATTCGATATCAAACTCAGAAACACAACATAAAAGAATTATGATATTACATAGCATAAATAATTTTTTTTTTTTTCACAAAATAAGTCGATTAATATAAGAATTTATGCATTCGAGATTTCGAGTCCTCTAGGCGTGTCAGCATGAGAGGAAATGACTTATGGTGCTTTCGTGTTCTTGTGCCCGCACTTTGTGCAACTTTTTATAGTCTTTCATCTTTGCAATATTCTCCACTTTTTAGTGGAAATCAGCGTAATTCATTAGGTGCTATTTGTAGATATAATAATGAAGTGACAAATGGCTGGCTTCTCTTTATTATTGCTGATTTAACAAACTCCCGCTGGCAATGTCAATATCATCCCCTTACAAATAATACTCGTTTTTTGTCTTGTTTGTTAGATAGACCTTGGCTTCCTATCAATGTCACAAGTAGGTCTATAAACGAACCGAGCCAAGCTCGAGTGTAACGTATAGATCTTCACTTTCTATCAATGTCACAAGTAGGCCTATAAACGAGTCAAGTCAAGCTCGAGTTTAGGGCGCTCAAGCTCGAGGCCTTAACGAGTCGAACTATAAAAAATTATACAAAAAATCTCTTTTCGAGCCTTAATGTGCCTTATCGAGCCAAGCTGTTAACCAAACGAGCTTTAAATGAACTCAAACTCGGCTCACCTCGAACTCGAGCCTTAAAGCCGATCCGGGCTCGTTTTATTTAACCGCATTAAAAGGCACTTGCAGAATAACTCAATAAAACCCAAAATTTCATGCTTGGATTTTCTGCTGTTGGATCAACGCACACTCGTTTGGCAAATGCAATCCAACGGTAAATAAAACTGGATGACGACATATCACATGTAAAAAAAAAAAAAAAAAAAAAAAAAAAAAAAAAAAAAAAAAAAAAAAAAAAAAAAAAAAAAAAAAAAAAAAAAAAAAAAAAAAAAAAACGACTGCCCTCACAAGGCAAAATCGACTTTTCCCAATAAAAGGAGCTGCTGCACAACACTGATGAAACATGTCTGATTAAAAATATTTGTATTTGTAGAAACTTCACAGTATGAAGAATGCTATTTACAAACTCCAACACCCCATGATTTGAAGCTAACATCATCTCTTGAAATCGAAAAATAACATTATAACGAATCAAAGTATGTATGTTTCACACAAACCTTGAGTGTATATGAGTATATAACATGTTATGACGAATCAAAGTATGTATATTTCACACAAACCTTGAGTGTATATGAGTATATGACAGCCATTTGTCTCGTTCGCAAAATTTTTCAGCCCGACTTGTCTGTAAGAACCGAGACGAGCTCATCACGGGCCCATTCAAGTGCAGCAGGCAACTTCTCCGGCTCACTTCCGCCCGCCTGAGCGAAATTCGGGCGGCCACCCCCTCTACCACCACACAACTTGGCTATCGACCCGATGAATTTTCCCGCCTGAATCCCGAGCTTCACTACTCCGGGAGAAAATGCTGCAACAAGACACACCTTTTTTTCATCCGGGCTCGAGCCCAAAACCACAGCAGCTGGATCTTGTAACTTGCCGAATATATACTCTGCAGCACTTTTTAGTGCTTCAGCATCGATATCATCCATGCTCTCGACTAGCACACTGGACCAATGAATTTATTTGAAGTTCAGATTTAGTTCTACTAATTTAATCTATCTATTGGCAACCAGAGAGAATACATTTAGGCCTCTCGTTTACTTAAGCTGATAGGATATGGTTGGATAACTCTTGTTATCCAAGTTTACTAATCATGATGACATCACCCCTATATATAATTCTCGAATGCGCTGAGCCTAAGTGGCGGGCTCGTGTGCTTCGTAAGCTTGTTTGGCATAAATTGGTGCTTCGTATTGACACATGTTCAGGTTTGGTTTTAACTACTAGGATTGAGAATTATTATAAACTATTTCAACTTTCCTTTTTTCTTAAGTTACCATACATTACTCTTACTTTTTTTATTTAATAATGATATTAATTGTTAGAAATATGTATTCTTCTTATTTTAAAACTTTAAATTTTTTTTATTTGTATTTTAATTTTTATATATGATCTACCAAAATAACCATATTTAACGATTTTTGATTTGACATCCACATTGCATGTAATAAATAAAAAATAATTTCATCTATATTTATAAATAAAATCACTTTTATTATCAACGCAATTTAAAAAAAAAATCTTATAATAATATAAATTATTTTATAAAAAAAATAAAAATTAACACCATAAAATAATCATTTTATTGTTTTTCTCCATAAATTTTGGATAAAATTACATAAAATAAATTCTAAAAAATTATAAAATATTACTTCTCAGTCTAAATATATTATATAAAATTGTATGTTATTGTGTTATTTAAAATAGTAAATATAAAAGAATATCACAATTAAATATAATTACATAATTTTGTATTTCGTAAAGTTAGAAAATAATACATTTCTACGTAAATTCTATATTATTATATATATGAATTTAAAATACTTAAATATTTAATAAACGTGAGACATGACTCTATAAATATGAATATAATTCACAATATAATGAAATTTGTCTTGCTAAAAAAAACTGAATCAAATATATGAAGTTGTAAATAATATCAGTTTTATACATATATAATTTTACAAATACAATTAAAAATATCTTTGTTGGCAAATTTAGTGCAAAAATACGGGAACTATAAAATAATAGTCACTTTGTTAGTTATTTATTATTGTTGTATTGTCATACATAATTTCACAATACAAATGTAAATTATTTTAATTTTTATTGTATAACTGATAATATATTTAAGTATCAGTGTAGTATAAGGGTATTGTACTAGTTAGATAATAAGTTGATGTGTCCTCTAGGTCCCACACTTTTATTCTGGCAGATTATTTTGTCCGGTCTTGAGGGTGGGACAATTTAATCCCACCTTAGAAATGACCATTTTGTGCAAAAATTGACATGTGAAATATTTTTATTACCGCTAGAAGTCCACCAAATTAGGCAATATAATATTGTCTTGTGGGTCCCATCCCACACTTTTACTTCATATTTTGCTTTCTATCCTATCATTTTATTTTATCCAGGTTAGTAATTGTTGCTTAATTGTCTTTGCACTAAATTACTTCATGTTTTGTAAACATTGGGCACAAGCTGAAGTGTAAAGTTGATGGGATTAAACTGTCCAATCTCATCTATAATCAATATCTATAACTACCTTAAAAGGATGAGTTATTTCTTGAAAAATTTGAAATGCCTATATTTACCTTTAGTTATTTACCTTTTGAGGACATAAATGTATAATTATAACTTCATTATTATCTCATCCAACCACATTTAAATAAAATCTAAAATGTCACTACTATCCTCAAAAGTGTTATATTACGTTACTTCCAAAAAGTTTTATTATGTCTTTATTCTAAATACATTTACTGCTTATAATATAAACAATTAAAATTATTTCAAATAACAATTTAAATTTTAATTATAATAATTGAAATATTAAAACACATGAGTTAATATAATGTTTCAAATAAAACGTTTTAAATCATGAATGTGATGACTCAATTTTTTCTTATAATATTCCTTGTGTATTTTATAATTAATATTTTTTTATAATATTAATCTATTAAAAAAATTGATTGGTATCCAAATTTTTAAATGAATGTATTGGCGCAACTACATAACTACGATATTGCATGTACAAATAATAAAAATTCTTGCAATGAAAAGTCAAAAAAATATAATCCATTGATCTGACCTTTTATTGAAACCAAATATTTATCTATTTCACTTTTTTTTTTCAACTGTCATAATGTATGAATCTTTTTTATTCTTATTGTATTATTTTACTATTAATACTCTATTCAATTAGCTTATGGTTCTCATTGTTTTTTGTTATTTACAAAATGTTTGTATGTTGTTATTTTAATATTAATGTATTAAAATGTTTGTATGTTATTTTTTTAATTATTTTTTCTTAATATTAATGTATTAAAATAATTTATGATAATATTATAACTTCCTTACTATCTCATCCAACCACATGTAAATAAAATCTAAAATGTCACTACTACCCTCAAAACTCAAAAGTGTTATATTATGTTACTTCCATAAAATTATATTATGTCTTATTCTAAATACATTTACTGTTTATGATATAAACAATTAAAATTGTTTCAAATAAATTTAAATTTTAATTAAAATAATTGAATTTTTTATGTTGAATAACTATTTTTGATTAAATCACTCTTAAACATATGCATGTTAACTAAATTGTTCCTCTTTAATTTTTTTTAATACTATAACAAAAAATATTTGTAGTAAAATATGATATATGGAAATTTGAGATGATACTTTCATTGGTTCGTATGTTTAATTGACATGCATATGTTTAATAACGATTGAATCAAAATAATTCTTCAACATACAAAATGTAAATTTTGCCGAAAAAAGTTGTTCGTTAAGTGAAAAATATATAATTTTAATAGAAATGTTTTGCTAAATTACTCACTAAAACAATATGCTTAATATAATTTAAGTTTACACGGTAATGGTATGTATAGTATAAATGTTCTTTCTTTATGATAATATGTGTTGCATAAATTAATCTATCATTTACTTTAATTGTAATAAGAATAAAAATAGAGTAATTATAAATATAAAATAAAATAACCAATAGTTGAATTTAAATCTTGAATTTTAAAATACGTGTAATTATTAAAAAATAGTCACAAATAATATCAATTAAATTAAAATAAATAGAACATTTACTTTAAATTTGTTGCCATTATCCACTTATTTATAAAATCATTCATAAATTAAATATTGTAAATCACTTTTCAAAAGTAGGAAAAATAAACTATATAAAATTTTGACGAAGATATAAAAATAATATTAAGATAAAAGTAAAATATGAAAGAATCATTATTTTATATTCATCGTGATACGATTTAAGTTTACAATGGTATGTATAGTATAAATGCTTTTTTTATGATAATATGCATTTTATAAATTAATCTATAATATAAATAAAAATAGAGTCGTTATAAAAATAAAATAAAATAACTAAAACTCGATTTTAAATCTTAAATTTAAAAATATGTGTACCTATTGGAAAATAGTTACAATTAAAATCAACTAAACATAATTAAATAGTACACTCACTTTAAATTTGTTGTCATTAGCCAATCTTATTTGTAAAATCATTTATAAAGTAAATGTTTCAAATCATTTCTCAAATGTAGAGAAAATAAACTAGACAAAGATAGAAAAATAATATTAAGATGAAAGTAAAACATGAAGAATCATCAATTCACATCTTATTTAAAAAGGAACTATTTATTTTTTTCACAATTAGGATAGTCTTAAAAATCCATGAACGAAAATGATAATGCATGCGTGGCAATAGGAGATTCAACAATAGTTTATGTTGAACATTATATATAGATGAGGGTGCTTTCAATCAACCAATGCTAAACAATATATAGATATATTGGTAGGATGTTATTGTTTCTAATCATTTTCATGTAATTATTTTTTTTTTTAAAAAAAATTAATTACAACTTTAATGACATTTTCAAATACTTATTTATCTTTTATGTCATTATATCCAAAAATAAAACATATATATAAGTATTATGAAATATTATACTTGCAAATAATTACACGTATTTTAAAATTCGATTAATTTATGCAACACATATTATCATAAAGAAAGAACATTTATACTATACATGTCATTAACGTGTAAACTTAAATTATATTATGCATATTCTTTTAATGAGTAATTTAGCAAAATATTTCTATTAAAGTTATATATTTTTTACTTAACGAATAACATTTTTCGACATAAATTTTACATTTTGTATGTTGAAGAATTATTTTAATTCAATCATTATTAAACATATGCATGTCAAATAAACATATGCACCATTATTAGTGTAGACCAAAATATTCAAACATAGTTGGTTAGCTTCTAATCAACACTAAAAAAATGATGATCACAAATGATATTTATATCAAATATGAGTTATTTTTCAAAGAGTATCACACAAAAAGAAGGCATTAAAAAACCATATTATAAGACAATAATAATAATTATTGATCATTATTTAAGCATAATGA